ATGGTATGATATTTGGAACCCCTATGTTCACAAACCATAAAACATCAACAACTTTGATGTTGGAATGACGGTTAGGAAGGGGATCAACATTGTGGATTGTGCCCAAGCAGAAAAATTTGGTTATCGTGTGAACGGGATCAAACACACGATTCTTTCAGCGGAGTGGAAGGGTAAACAGACTATGGCTGCAAAAAGTCCTTCAGGCCATTTCCTCTCGGGTTCATTAGAGAGGGTCTCGTCACTCACTGACTGTTCATGGTTGTACTTGTACGTGTTTTCATCTTCAATGCCGATGTCCAAGACAAAGAATTGTTTCATGCTCATGCAAAAGTCTGTTGGGCAAAAATTTCTGAAGCGGATAGACAGATTGTCATTGTTGGGTATGACTTCACAACCGATCAACAAATGTGGCGCATCAGTGACAACAGTGAGGATGAAAGAAATGATAGTTGTGAAAGAAATGGACAAGAGGATGATGTGGATGTAGATGGGATTGAAAAAATCATAAATAAGCGAGAAAACAATTCGTATATGGTTGATCTGCGGAAGAGGTTTGGTTGTTTGGGGCTCTTAGGATGAGTTCCATTGTTGTGGAGAGAGAAGAGTGCCGATGGTAGTGTTGTCCACGTGACGTTTAAGGACCCCTTAGGAGTCTCTTTCAATTTGGTTTACGAGGAAAGCCTGCTACGTTACTGCGTGTATAGTGAGGATGGATTGTATGGGTGCAGTGAATGAAGTGCAACATCATAGGGGAGATATATCTGACGACCTAAAGAAGAGAAAATCTGTAAAGAAGTTGGATCCGACACCTCAAAAAACTGTCCCGAAGGACAAACGAAGGAATAAGAAGGGAAAAACATAAAAAATGCAACCTTCTGCAGCAGATATGGTTGCAGCTGCGGAAGCCGCAAGTGCTGCACCTACAATAGTTATCGCACTTGGTGTTGATGCAGCACTTCATCTACAGCTGCAACAGCAGATGTGGTAGATGCACCAACTGCTGCACCCACTAAATATGCTGCAGCAGATGGTGAAGATGCTGCAGATGGAGCACTTGTTGATGAAAATGCTCGTTCTCAACATGAAACTGTTGAGCGAGGAAGTAAGGGGAAAGCTAAAATAAAGGAAAAACATCCAAACAAAATCCTCCACGTATCGCATGGCAGCAGGCACACAAAGAAAGATTGAACGCACATGAACGCATAGAAAAAGAGAGCGAGAGAGGAACGAAAGAACAAAGGTCAAGATACGAAGGCATGGAGGTACAAACCTGACACTCTCTCACTGAAGGAAATTCGAAAAATGTTGAAATTTGTCGACCCTGTTATCCTTTTTGCTCCATTTGCGCGTTTGGTTAAGAAGGTGCTGAAGGATGTCAACGACGAGTGGAGAGGTGAATCATATGAAAATTGAGCATGAATCACCGCAAGTAACAATTACTGCAAGAACTGTCAAAGTTTTGCAAGAGCTAGCAGAATTGTGTACTGCTTACATCATGAATTTGACGCACAAAGTGGCGATCCACTGCAAGAGAATTACGATTCAGTATAAAGTCTTGGAACTTGTTACAGAGGTGCAAAAGGGAACATGTGATTTTGGCACGGGGGAAATTCCTAAGAATGAGAAAAAAATAAATTATTCTCCCACAGAAAAGTCACAAACAAACTCGGACAACCAAGGACCTCGAATATGTCACGACCTAAGAAAAAAAACAAAGCGGTGAAAATGTAAAAACGGTAGGGTACTGCAGATGGGACACACTATCACATTTTTTCTGATTCAATGTCTCTGATGTACGTTAGACAACTTCCTTAGTATGTGTCAACCATTGTGAAGTATGTTGTTTATCTCGAGCAGGTAGGCGAGATAAGGATCGTAGGGGAGGGGTTAACAAATAGGACGAGGACATCAATTGTTATACGTTGAAGCTGCTCTCTCCCTTTCTCAAGGTAACTGTGTTTTTTTCTTTTTTTCTTTTTTGTTCCCTATCAAGTTTGCATGCGTGTGTATGTATCATAGGTTTGTCAATCGCTGGTTTGAAATGAGTGACATAGGAGAAGTAGAAAGTTTTCAAGATAGGCAAGTATGTAATGTACATTCATGTAGTAGTGTGAACTATGTGACTTGAAAATCGAAGAGTTTTGTGCAAACTGCTAAGATCTGTGACTTGGATAGGCAACACTTCTTGACAAATTACATATTTTTTTCTATTGCAGATACTTTTTTTTTGAGTTTATCATTGTCTTTGTCTGTCTGTCTATTTGTTTGGGACAGAAACTCTCTCTCTCTCTCTCCGCCCACTTTTGACTGTGGGTTGTGACTCAGGACACGACTTTTGCTAGGGGAAGTGTCCTTTGCCTATGGAATATGACTTTTCAATATGACTCTTGAATATGAGACATGGCTTTTACATATAGAATAGAGGTCACTGTTAACCGAATGTTTGTTGCCTGGTCTACTCTCTGTCTACCACCTCATTGTGTCTTCTCTTTTTGCTTGCATGCACTCTCACTCTCTACTACTTGAGAATAAACTCTGAATACACCCACTATTATACTCTTCTACTTCTACTAATCCCAACTACTAACTCTTGCACTACTATGTCTGTTTTCTCTCTCACACACAATAGCTTAGCCCTCTGGCCTCAACGCCCAGCCACTCACATTAGCGCACAAGCGCAATAGCATTTTCATACTATGTGCGAATGAGCAATCTGTTCAAATGGTGGCAGGTCAGTCCTTATATTGACTTGGGTTGAACTTCAACGTGTCCCGGCCTCTGCTTCTTGTGGCTTGACTTGGTACTGGTACCACATCCCCACGACTTGTTTGCTTCAGAATGCCAAAGCCTCGTATTTTTTCCGAATTTTTCATCCTGTGTTGCTGCTCGGGCTTGTGAGTCACGACTTTTCATGAACTGGAACATGATTTTTGACTGTGGGTTGTGACTCTTGTCTCTGGGACACGACTTTTGCGTGGGAACCTGTCCTTTGCCTGTGGAATATGAGTTTTCAATATGACTCTTCAATATTAGACGTGACTTTTGCGTATAGAACGGATTGTTTGCCTCTTGGATGTGACTATTAACCAGGTGTCTGTTGGACTTGACTCCTAAGGTAAAAATTTGTGACTTTTATGAAAGAGACTTTGGCATTTTAGTCTCAGGATGTGACCCTTCAGCTGGTTTGCGCTAGACTTTACCTATATTTGACGGTAACTTCCATAACCTGGCCGACTGGGCCTCTACCCATTTGGAAACTTAGACCCTGAAATTTGAATTTGGGGTCTGAATTGTGGAAGACCTTTCAACCTTATCAGACTTTCAAGTTTGTTGCTGAGTATAGTCCTCTTGTGGGATGTACGTGGAAAAGTAGCAGTGGGAGGTAAGGCACATGACAACTAACTAAAAGCAGTGCCATGCATGCCAAAGACAGACAGTGTTTTTTTTTCTTGAGTGTCGGCTTTAACGGCAGGGGGGCAAGGCGAGGTATAAATTATTTTTAAAAAGGGCTAAAGTGGGGTGATTTGGTTATCTTCTTTTTTTATCTTCATTTCCATGAGGATTTCTGATGTGAACCTCTGCCAAAAGTTTTTTGTATTGCAATTCTATACAACATATATTTTTCGAAATTTTTCCCACTTTTTTTTTTTTTTTTTTTTTTTTTTTCTGGCACTGGGGCTGCTAGGGACTTGTCCGGTAGTTATACCCGACCGGTCACCCGGGCGCGTTTCCGACCACAACTCGGTGTCCGGGCACCCGAAAAAATGGTTTATCTTTTTTAGCCTATTTTTTTTTATATTTTTTTTTCTTAGTCCGGGTACCTTGGGCGAGTGCCCCCCCCCCTCCGGCCCCCTGGGCAGTGATGGTCGGGCAGGTGCCGTCAGGTAACCCTGGTAACACAGACAAAATGTGGGTTTAGGCACTCTCACAAGCCCTTGGCTCTGGAGTACAAAATTATTCTCATGCCTAACAACTAGGGACGAATATATTTCCTATTCATAATTTCAGCATCCCGGCATTTGGGTATAGCTGCATTCAAGTTGACCAATCTTGGCCAATGTCCCAAAATAATTTTAACAGATCATTACCCGGGTGCAAATGTAAGGTGGGCCCCGAGATTGGGTATAGCGGTACAAAAACATTTTTTTACGTAGGAAAAAAACAACGCAACAGGGCCACACTTGATTTTAGCCAAAAGGCAGAGAAAGGTATCAGTTGTATTGTTGTGCATGTATCATTGCATCTGATAGGGATTGCCATCAAGTGTTATCTAGGAAGGCCACCCCTCGCTTTAGCAACTACCTTCTTCACCTTCTAGGTCAAGGTGTTTCGTGCCTCCTTCCAAGCTTTACCTCAAGATGTACCGACCATAAGACTCATTCATAGACTACCGTAGCGATGGGCGCAGTGATCACCAATTATAGACCCGCACAGAGAGAGAGAGAGAGAGAGAGAGAGAGAGAGAGAGAGAGAGAACATATGAAGATTGGGCACGAGCATTGGGCTCAGCTACGGCGCTGCCACTTGCGGCGCCCTTCTTTCCAGACGGAGAAACACACACTTGACACTAGTGTTAGCGCAAAGCCAGCAGCACACGAGCACTTGCTAGAGACATTATAGTTCTCAGAGAGAGAGAGCGGCTAGAGAGAGCAGATTATTACTAATGTATGTGGACTGTATAGTTCCCCACCCACATTCATAGTTACCAAACATTTAGAGCGTATAGAGTCAATTGCTGGCTAGAGAGACATTTGCAAGGAAAATGAACAATAAGGAAATGACAGAATTATAAATTGCAAGTCACATTGAAAACCAGATAATCAAACTGCAACTGTAAGCAGAATTGCACTAATGTTAAACCGAAGGGGGACGAAAACATCGAACTCAATTATCAATAAAAACATATACTGCACCACCAACAATGCAATTGTAGCTCTTCTTTCTATCGGCGCTCAACGGCCGGACTAGCATCCTCAAACTACCCTATCCTAAACTAAGTAGTGACGAAGGAACCCGTTGACTTCAGCAGCAACATAGCAAGTTATCGAAGTACATGCAAATGTCAACCATGCAGACCATCGCCAAGACCAGGTATGTGCTCTCACATCATCATCCCCATTTTTTTCCCTCTCCTGTCTTTTTTACCCCCTCACACAAAGACCACCACCTAAACTCGCTAACCTTCCAAACTTGAGTTTTTTTTTTAGGGGATGTAAACGTTTTCCCCAAGCGTTTCATCAGGTAACCCAAACCGGGGACATTATGGTCACATCCCTGTTGAGCCGGAGGTTATAATAGTCACTTTGTTCCTTTTCTCTAATATATAATATCATATACGTTCTCTTAACTTCTCTCTTTCATTCTCTCTTTTATTCTTATGCAAATGGAAAAAACATACCTTATAATCGTTATGAATGTGCCCTTTCATTTTGGTCACAATAGGTATGAGATTGAGAGGTTCAGTGGGGGCCTATTCATTTTGCTGCAATCAATTTATTCAATTTGAAACATTTTTTTTTTTCATAAGAGAATATAGAAGAGTTGCGTCAGCTGGGGCATATTCATCCGAGGACCGTGATTGTGTTTAACCTCCAAGTAGTTCACATCTACTAACCAGGCTTCTGTTTGTGTTAGGGAAGGTATGCGATTGGCCTAAAAAAAAATGATTAAAAGTTGTACTAGTCTTTTCTTTCTTAGATTCGTATACCTATAGGCACTCATACAGGCACATATAAAAAAAAAAAAAACAGTAAGGTAACCCTTGGTGGACACCTGTAAGGGGGAGGTCTGCGCACCAGTCATCTTTGGCCAAAAAAAAAAGGACGGGGAGATGAAAATTTTGACAACATGGCGAGAAGGACGAGATGAAGGAGGAGGCAGAGGAGGGAGAGGAGGAGGACGAAGAGGAACCCACAACGATGAACTTGACATAGAGGAGGAGGAGGAGGAGGAAGAGGAGCGATGGAGGACGAGGAGGAAGAAAAAGAGGAGGAGGAGGAGGGGGTGGTGGAGGAGGAAGAAGAGGAGGAGGTGGAGGAGGAAGAGGAGGAGGAGGTGGAGGAGGAAGAGGAGGACGATGAGGAGGAAGAGGAGGAAGAGGAGGAGGAGGAGGAGGAAGAAGAGGAGGAGGACGAGGACGAGGACAAGGAGTAGGTGTAGGAGGAGAAGGACGGCAAGGGCAATGACGAGGAGGAAGAGGAGGAGGAAAAAAAGGAGGAGAGGGAGGGCGAAAAGGAGGAGGAGGAACAAAGGAATGAGGAAGAAGAAGAGGAGGAGGAGACCGAAGTGCGAAAGAAAGAAAACGAGGAGGCGCGAAAGGAGTTGGAGGTGGCTAACCAAGCACTCAGTGGCGATGGCAAGTGGGGATGGGCTGGACAGTGTCAGAGTTCGACAATGGCAACACCGAGCTCCACCGACAACTGTCGGACAAAGACGCGCTCGTGGGAGGCCACCTAGGCCCCCGCGTTCGAATTTGAAAACGGTCCGACCTCGGTCATTGATCTCGCTGATCGGACGATCCATATTGGACCGTTTTCTATTTCGAATTCTGGCGCCTTACCGGCCACAAAAAACAATTCCCGCCTGGCCCTCCGCTTCGCCTCTCACCACACCCCATCCCTCCACAACCAAAGTTGTGTCCCCCTCCCCCCCCCCCCCCTTCTACTTCGTTTCGGAATCGGACATAGGACTCTGGGCGGGCGGATATGCACAGTTGTCCGATTGGACAATCCTGGGCGTCCAATCCGGTAACGTAGACAGATTATCATATATGATCTTTCTTTCATTCTCTTTTTTATTTCTTATGCAAGAAAAAAAAAAACACGGACCCCAGAATCATTATGAATGCACTCTTTTACGCATCTCCATTTTATTTCGTGTCCAAATGGTAGGCACCTACCGGCTATGGTTCACATTTGGTCACAATGGGTATAAAATGGAAAGGGTCAATGGGTGCCTATTCATTTTGCTGCATTCCGTGTATTCAATCTGAAACTACGAGACACCTACCGACCACGCTTCCGTTTTCATAAGAGAAGATACTAGATGAGTAGCATTAACTGGGGCATTTTTATCCAAGGACCGTGAATGTTTAACCTCCAAGTAGTTCAAAACTACTAACCACGATTCCATTTGTATTAGAAAAGGCACGCAATTCGCCATGAAAAATATGTCTCTCATGTACTCGTGTTTTTTTCTTTGTCTCGTATACCTATAAGCTCTTATACATATACAAACAAAAAAAATATCTTGAAGGGATGCACAACCCCTTGTTGCCATTGTGGGGGACCCCCGTACGATGTGTTAAACCTCACTTATATTATGTGTTCCCTGTGTACAAGAATTTGTATTACTTATTTCCCTTCACTAATATTTATTTTCTGTAAGATATAATGTATGGTCTCTCTCTCTCTCTCTCTCTCTCTCTCTCTCTCTCTCTCTCTCTCTCTCGCGCGCGCGCGCGCGCGCGCACACGTGCAATGGATCTTTTTCAAATTGTATGCAAAACAAAATACAACAATACTACAAGCATTGTGCCTTCTAAGCGAGGTGGATAAAAGTCTATAATTTTTTGTGTATGCATTTTGTTTATTGTGAAAATAGTAGGCATCTGATGACCGTGGTTCGACTTTGAACATACAACTTATAGGTTGGAGAGGGTCAGTGTGTGCCTATAAATTATGCGCAGTGAACGTGTTCACCTCAAAACAATAAGCGTCTACCGACCTCATTTTAATTTTGACCACATCAAAGCAAAAGTGGGGCATTTTCATTTGAGGACCCTGAATGTGTTCAAAGATCAACCACAGTTTCAGTATTGTTCTTAGAGGTATGACAATTATCAACCAGTGGCCCTTGTACTGTCTTTTACTTTCTCAAGCTCCCATACATTGCACTCATCCAGACACATGCACAAAAACATATTGAAAGGAAACATATTCAAGTTTTCAATATTTGATTTCTTTATTATTATTTTCAGAATTATCGGTTGTACATTTCGACTGTTCAGTGTGTCCTATTGTGTAGGGTGTGTGGTAATATAATAGTATCTGGTGTGGACTCTAAGGTCATACTTCTTCGAACATATCGACATCATTTGAAGAGATAACGTGGAATAAGGCTCTCAAGTATGCAATGGGAAATGTACACTATAACACAGACAACGAACTGAACAAGATCGGAAAAAGGGTTCCTTAATACTTTTCACTGCTCATCAATGTAAAAGCAACTATTGCTAGTAACATTGAAAATATGCAGGATGCAAATGAATTTTAGAACAGCTTTCACTCATCCCCTGATGTGGAAGTTGTCACTGTTCCGCACACAAATACTTTTGTTCCTATGATATCATACACTGTGAATTCAGTTCTCAATTGGCTTTGCATTCAGGAGAACGTAGACAAATAAAAAAAGAAGAGCATCGACGAATACACAACTTTCGCGTACAGAAAGAAATTATATTTGAAGGTAGGTGACGGTGCCATGCGAGATCTATATGATCATAATATGTTTAAGCCAGGTATGGCTGAAGTATTGTGTTTGTCACAACTGAAGATGCGAGATTAGATTTCACCAACATCTGTTGCAAACTTACCAGTGTTAGTGGTAGATGGGCTAAAATATGTTATATTAGATCAGATGATGGACCTGTTGAGATCATACGATGGAAAACAAAAAATGGTGCATAAAGTACTTAATCTGATAATTGAATATTTGCTTTCTGGAGGTGTACTCATTGGCGCCATCTTCATTCCCTTCTTTTGTAAATATTATTGAAGGTGGTGAATTTGATGACGCATTACGAACAATTTGTACAACTACAACTGAGGTGGACAAACAATGAATAGGGATAGATATTGTTGTTGAAGAATGCATGAAGATTGAAGAGCAGGATGTGAATGAGAGTTTTGTTATCTACTCCAATGAGAATAAAGTTGTTTTACCCGCAAGAATTTTGGAGCCACATTGAATGAGGATGTCAAAAGACGATTTGAAAGTTGAAGATGTTGTTACTCAGTGGACGCTTTCAGAATGTTTTTTTTTTCAGTCTTCATCAATCATGTGTTGCTGAGGAAGCACAAAGTGTCGCAAGTCTATTCATATCAAGCGACATTGATGATGGTGACAAAATAAAAAACATGCAAGAAATCCTATTGAACGATGAACCCCAACAAAGCAGTGGCAATAGTAGAGAGAATGATAACGAAGAAAAGCGTATTAATGATGATTATCTCCTTAAGCGAGATTCAACACACATAGACTGTGGTTGGTGTCATGCACTATTGAAGTTGGTAAACCGATTCAGAGAGCCTCATATTGTGATTCACGTGACCCACAATGACGCATCCCCTGATGAGAAAACGTTATTTATGACAATCTCATCACTCATGAGGACGTGTCAAACAGGGAAGGTCTTTCATAATACTGGGAAAAGTTCGTTTGTACACCTAGTATTTTTTTTTAGTCAGCGAGAGGAGGATAAACATATTTTGGGATTGCATTAACTTTCTCTCTCTCTCTCTCTCTCTCTCTCTCTCTCTCTCTCTCTCTCTCTCTCTCTCGCTACATTTTTATTGGAGCAAACTTTTGAAATATCATTGAAGGATTAAATAGCGTTGAAGGATTAAATAGCGTTGTGCTTATAACACCAACAGTTGTGAGGTGGTGAGTGTGGTAATATAAAAAACTAAGCAGCCAGGAACGAGCTTTAATTGATGGAGAGGAGAGACGTGTTTATTTACCTGTCATTTTCACACAGTTTCTCCAGTCGTGTAGACATGTACATGTGCATGCTATTGAGTACAAATTGCAGACAATTATTAATTGTTTGTCACAGCCACATGAATGAGTTTGTGGGTTAATATTAACGTGACTGTTTGTTACATTTAAGTTATTATATTTGTGGAGTCGTGTTAATGTGACAGTTTGTTAAATTCGCGGTATTGTATTTGTTGATTCGTGCCAATGAGTATTAATTTTTATTTTTATTTTCATTTTTGCGCTCTTATATCTTTGTGACGATATATATGTACAGAGTCTAACTAAAATTGTGACACATGATAATAATATGCACCGAATGACAAATGTTATATGTAAAATGTTGTTTATTTTTAGAAAACAAAATAAATTACGACGAAAAATATCATAAAACTTCTGAAATTGAAAACAAGATTTTCTTGCAACAAGTTCTACTGAAATAATTTTTTTTTATCTACAATGTAAAACTTTGATTGTACTTGTGCGTGTATCAGGTTAATTGCATAATAATTTTCAATATAAGTTTTTCATGGTGCAACTTATTTGCTATACAAATGACAACAAAGAGTGACATGACAAGTGAATGTGGTCGTCAATTTAGAAGTTTGCAACCTCTAAATTCACATCGTTTAAGAGCATGCATCGCACAAGTGATCGATTTGATGTGATCATCTGATAACAATGATGGAGACGTTGATGAACCATTCAAAGTACGTGAAGAAAACATGAGAATGGACATCGACCTTGGAAAAGACATTGAACGTGAAGGGATTGCAATTGAACAGAACACCACAGGGTTTGGTGATAACGATAACTGCGGAGAACAACGAGATGGTGACAAGAATGCAATACCATTTAACACATCACGCACAATGGCTGCATTTATGTTGTCAGCACGAGGAGGAATCAGGTTGTTTGTCTCTAATATGGATGCCTTGTTGTCAACCATGAGACATCATGAGTTCAATCCGCAGTCTATTCCTTTTCATAATGGCTGTGAGTTTCTTTCCTAGTCAAGTGCGCAACCAAGGCCAACTGGGTGGCAAGAAATAGATCTAAGGAAGGAAGATTGGCCACAAACTAAGTACGCAAAAATGTGGTTCCGTAATTGGAAAACAATTTTTTCATTCTTGTTGGAACAAGCTCTGACATCAAACAATAACCTAATGTTAGAAACACCTTTGCGGTCCAATATTAATGAACCAATTACTGGCGCTGCAACCGCATCGAGGCCGTATATGTAAGTTGTATTGCGCGAAGACAAAGGTGTAGACGCAAATGATAGAGAACGTTATGTTGTTCCATTTACTCTGTACTCTGACAAAACTCATTTGGACGGAAGAATAAAAAAAACGTCGTACACATTGATGATGTCTATTACGGACAGAGCAGCAGATGCTACATTCATCGCATACTTACCTATTATTAT